TGGAGTCATACTCCAATGAATGACACCTAGGAATCTATTGTTACAAAACTAGACAAGTAACCAGCAAGTCCACCCTCCGTGATCCTACATCAGCACTTCTGAGTGTCGTCCAAAGACCACTTGCTTCCAAAGAATCGTCAGTGCTGACAACGCAAGCCCTGGGCGCTACCCAAGAGCTCTTGGTTATGAATATGCTCTCAGGAGGGGGAGAGACACATGCTTAGATGTTGGGAACCATCTATTTCATCTCTGAAGTTCGAGCCATTGGTGTTGAGAAGAATGAGTTCAATTTTTCGGGTAACTTTTTATATCATTGGGTTTATAAGAGTGTCACTGATTCCAGTAGAAATCAGGAAATAGGTGGGTTAGTGTTGTCAACGTTACTAGAAGAGTGATGAAAGGGTGTGCTGTTCAAATGACAGGTAAACAAAGCGTTCCTTGCATAAAATACCGGCAAGTGCTCAAACCTAGTGTCTGTATGCCAGGGGTAGCTACATCCTATACATAGATTCTTTTACTTAATCCTTGAAGCAACCCCATAAGGTAGGTCTTGCTAACTCTCTTTTTAATCAATGAAGGAAATCAGAAAGCTTAAATTGCCAGGGCTGTGGCTAAAAGTGGTAGAGCCAAGATTTGAACCTAGGGAGTTGGTTAAAAATGTATCCTCTTAACCTCTATGCTAGACTAAACATTAAACAGAACACACAGTTTCCCTCTCAAATACACTCTTGTGATTTTACTTCGCAATTAGGGGTTCCCCACCCAACCCCAAAAGAAAAAGTTGAATTCCAAATTCTGATTTTCACTATCTCCTTGCAACCAGAGAAGTTAATTTCCTGTCTTCAATTTTTCTGTACAAAAGCATTTTCTTTGTTCAGTGTTTTGTATAAAGATAAAAGGACTTACATTAAATTAGTTTTACAATTAGGCTTTCGTAAATCTAATCAAAACTCATTACAAAGGCTTTCTGTTTTTGCTTTTGTGACATTCATTATTGAACGTGATACATGAGTAAGGTGTTAGAGGTTAATCCGTTCAGTAGAAGGGTTATGGAGTTGAACTATTAGTAAGCCAGAGGTTATAAGAGGTTGGGGACTAGTGTTAACTATACGGGAAGTGACGGTTTGGTGAGTCATTAGATGTTGTCACATAAATAGAGCACATTATTGGCACTGGAGAAAAGATAACTCCCAGAGCATACTCTGATGAATAAAGATAGACCACGTTTGGTTCTGGTAGTTTCCACACATCAAACAATGCCTGTGTCCTGCTCTGTTTTCGTGATTATTGACATACAGGCCTTCCCTGGGTTTATGAGTGAGATACTTTCCTAATTGTTTTTTAGGTTGAATTATAGGCGCTCAGAACAGGTTCTTATTTAACCTTCCTGTAGTGTAAGAAAGGAGCCCTGGTAACAGTGGTTACACATGGGCTGCTAACCCCACAGTCAGCAGATCGAACCTACCAGCCGATCTGCTGGAGGGAGATGAGACTTTCCACCCCTGTAAAGTATAGCAGTCTCAGAAACCTATAGGGGCCATTCTACCCTGTAGGTGACCCAATCCTATTGAGTCGCTATGAGTCTTAATTGACTCATGGCAGTGAATTTGTCTTTTAGTACAAGGAAAAGCTCCAAGCAAAGGGAATT